TGAAGTAATGAAATTGGGTTGTTAGCGGAATGCTAAATAAAACAGCAAAAAAGGTTATCTTCCATTTAATTCCACTTAATTAATTTTGGTATCCATGACAGATACGTATTTCGACTACAATGTGCAGTCTTCATCAGTGTGGGAATCAGAGTGGGAATGACACTGATGAAGACTGCACATTGTAGTCGAAATACGTATCTGTCATGGATACCAAAATTAATTAAGTGGAATTAAATGGAAGATAACCTTTTTTGCTGTTCTAATAATATTGTCATGACTTTAAAATTCAGTAATGGATTTTAAAGCATTAAATATTGTAAATTGGAATGCTCGATCTCTTAAAGATAATGAAGACGAGCTATTTAACTTTTTGAGAGTTCATAACGTGCATATTGCCGTTATAACTGAAACGTTCCTTAAACCTGACCATAAGGTTAAGAAGGACGCAAATTACTTGATTTATAGAAATGATCGTCTTGATGGACCCTGTGGTGGCGTTGCCATCATTATTCATAGACGAATCAAGCATACAATTCTTTCTTCATTTGAAACCAAAGTTTTTGAAACTTTGGGAGTTTCTGTTGAAACAAAATTTGGACAACTTACGTTTATAGCTGCCTATTTGCCATTCCAATGCGTAGGCCAGCAAAAGAATTTTCTCAAGGGTGACCTCCAGAAACTTACCCGTCATAGGTCTAAATTCTTCATTATTGGTGATTTTAATGCAAAACACCGCTCATGGAATAATGCTCAAAGCAATTCCAATGGTAATATTCTGTTTGATGATTGTTCTGCAGGTTATTACACTATTCAATATCCAAACAACCCAACATGCTTTTCTTCTGCAAGAAATCCCTCCACTATTGATTTGGTCTTAACTGATTCATGTCAACTTTGTAGCCAACTGGTTACCCATGCTGACTTCGGTTCTGATCACCTTCCAGTAACTTTTGAAATATCCCAAGAAATAATTTGTAATCCCAACAGCTCTACTTTCAATTACCATAGAGCTGATTGGGAGCAATATCGAACATTTATGGAATATAACTTCGATCCAAACATTCCTTTGCAAACCAAAGATGAAATTAATTATGCTCTTGAATCTCTGACTACTTCTATAGTTGAAGCAAGAGCTGCCTCAGTACCAAAATGCGAGGTTAAATTCGATTCAATTATAATAGACGATGATCTTCAGCTCTTGATCCGTCTTAAAAATGTCCGTAGGAGACAATTTCAAAGAACACGCGATCCTGCCATGAAAGTTATCTGGCGGGATTTGCAAAAACAAATTAAAAAGCGATTCTCTGCCCTGAGGAACAAAACTTTTGAAAATAATGTTTCTAAATTAGACCCGAGTTCCAAACCCTTTTGGAAACTCACAAAAATTTTGAAAAAACCTCAAAAGCCAATTCCAGCGCTTAAAGAAGGTGGTAAAATTTTGATCACAAATTTGGAAAAAGCTCAGAAACTTGCTAAGCAATTCGAGAGTTCCCATAATTTCAGTTTGGGTCTTACTAGTCCTATTGAGAATCAGGTTGCTCGGGATTTTCGGAATATTTTCTCTCGGGAAAATATTTTTGATGATTCCTGGGGGACTGATTTGGACGAAGTAAGGTCTATAACTAAAAAATTTCAAAATATGAAAGCTCCAGGTGATGATGGAATTTTCTATATCCTCATCAAAAAACTCCCAGAGAGTACCTTGTCTTTCCTGGTAAAATTATTTAACAGATGTTTCCATTTGGCATACTTTCCTGATAAATGGAAAAATGCAAAAGTTGTTCCAATTTTGAAGCCGGATAAAAATCCAGCTGAAGCTTCTAGCTACCGTCCAATAAGTTTGCTTTCTTCAATAAGTAAACTTTTTGAAAAGATAATTTTGAATAGAATGATGCTTCACATCAATACGAACTCAATTTTTGCAGATGAGCAGTTTGGATTTCGCCATGGGCATTCAACTACTCATCAACTCTTAAGAGTTACCAATTTAATTCGTTCAAACAAATCTGAAGGCCACTCAACTGGAGTTGCTCTTCTAGACATAGAAAAAGCATTCGACAGTGTTTGGCATGAAGGTTTGATTGCTAAATTGAAAAAGTTTAATTTTCCACTTTACATTATGAAATTAGTTCAAAATTATTTAACTGACAGAACTCTGCAGGTAAATTATCAAAATTCCAAATCTAATCGACTACCTGTTAGAGCAGGAGTTCCTCAGGGTAGCATTCTTGGGCCTATATTGTATAACATTTTCACTTCGGACCTCCCTGATTTGCCTCAGGGTTGCCACAAATCTTTGTTCGCTGATGACACAGGCATTTCCGCTAAAGGAAGAAGTCTTCGTGTTATTTGCAGCAGACTGCAGAAAAGTTTAGATATTTTCTCTTCTTATTTACAAAAATGGAAGATTTCTCCCAACGCTTCCAAAACTCAACTTATAATATTTCCACACAAGCCTAGAGCTTCGTTTTTGAAACCTAGTAGTAGTCACATAGTCACTATGAACGGAGTTCCAATTTCCTGGTCAAACCAAGTGAAATATCTTGGATTAATACTTGACCAAAAATTAACTTTTAAAGATCACATTGAGGGCATTCAAGCCAAATGTAACAAATATATTAAATGTTTGTATCCTCTTATAAACAGGAAATCCAAACTTTGCCTGACGAATAAACTTCTAATATTCAAACAAGTTTTTAGACCGGCTATGCTTTACGCTGTGCCAATATGGTCTAGTTGTTGCACTACCAGGAAAAAAGCACTTCAAAGGATTCAGAACAAAATTCTGAAGATGATTTTGAACTTGCCTCCCTGGTACAGTACTACCGAAGTACATAGAATTTCGAATGTTGAGACTTTAGCACAAATGTCCAACAAAATAATTAATAATTTCCGGCAAAAATCGTTACAATCCTCAATTGCAACGATTAATTCCCTTTATACTTAGATAAGATTTAGTTTTAGTTATTTAGTTTTAAGCTATCAATTGTTATACTGACATGCAGGTTTAAAAAACCTGTTTAAAATACTGAATTGCCAAGACAGGAACAATGTAAAAACACTTAGATATATATCATAACAATTAAGGCTGGTAAGTTACTGTAGTAACTGGAGCACCTAGGTTAAAAATGAAATGTAATTTACTTTGAATTTGGAACAAATAAAGAGTTAAAAAAAAAAAAAAAAAAATGGAGCATACGGTGCGATTTGCGGGCTGCAGAGAGTGTTCAACAGAGTTACATCGGTCTTCGACTTTCATCTCACTTGTGATTGCGTTCATCGAATGTTTTCGTCCGTTTTTCGCCGATATGAGTAACTGACTATAAGATAAATGTTTTTTATGATGTTTAAGTTATGACCATTAGACTGCCAATGAATGTATGGGAAAAATTTGACCATCAAATTTCGCTAACAAACCATATACAAAATGTTACCTACTTATATATCGAATTAAACCACCATTTAGGATCTAATACGAAATAATTCACTAGGATGGTCCAATTATTCTTCATTAGGGTACCCCAAAAATCAAAATAGGTATGTAAAAACCATTACTTTTTACCAAACGCATGTATCTGAAAATATCATCATGTTGTGTTTTGGAAGATTTTCAAGAGTGAAAAAAGTCAAACTTTGACGCGTTTGCGCCACCCCTAAATCATGTCCGATTGAGTTCAAATTTTGCATAGGGTCATTTTTCGAGGCAATAAACATTCTGTATATGGTTTGTTAGCGAAATTAAAAATTACCATTTTCGCTGGCAGTCTAATGACCATGCATGAAGGTTAACATCATCCAGCCTGTTGATGTAAAACAACAATAAACAATATACATTTTCTGCAGGTCGATACTCTCCCAGTAATGCAACTAAAAATGTAACCATCGAAATGCTCTGCTTACCCACGCAATCTAACACCACCATCCAGGTAGGGTAAAGTTTGGTGGTGGTGTTAGTTTGACTCTACCCCGTTTAACATAATGCCGTTTGCCATAAGGTCCATTGTTCACATTTTTAAAGTCACCAGTTGGCCTTTTTGATACGCTTTTGAATATATTTTAACAATTCGTATTTGCTAACCATCTCGGAGAAAACTCGGGAAGTGTAGAATCTGTGTTGTGATGTTTTCCAAAAGATTGCAGACCCATAATAATAACGCAAATACAATGAAGGATAGAAATAAAGAGACGTCAATAGCAACATTATAATCGAAAATATGGAAATGCTGCTACAGCCAGGGGTTGAAACTGTTGACGTTTTTTACGTCACTCGCTTTCGTTGTCATGGGCGACAGTCTGTTTTTATTCGTACTCTCATGCTCTACCGTCGTCTCTCGTACACAACACAAACGGTAGAACAACATTCGAGCAATAACATAATATTTAAATAACTATTATATGACATGTGTGATTTCGTTCTAATTCCTCAATTCGGTGTAAATTAAACCATTTCTAATCAGAAATGTTATTGCTAGGACATCGTTGCTTGCTATTTTCAGAATTCACACAAGCACAACATCAGCAGCTCTTATTATGAGAAAAACTAAAATACATACATTCGTGACGGTCTTTGGCAACAGAGTCGTATGACAGAGCCTGTCATATGACATTTTATTTTGGAACTGTAATTTGATAGCTTGTTTTGCAAGTGTCGGAAGCAAAGGCAGTCGATTATCACAGAAAATATGTCGACTACGGTGACCACTTACAAGACTGGCTACAGCTTTATTTTTATGCCTGATATAAAACTGTGATTACGAGCATTGTCGTAAATCAAATAGGTTACCCTATTATGATAGGAGTGTACGACAATGCTCGTATATCACCTTAACTTTTGCAGCCTTTCCGTGCATTACATATCAGACTCAATAATAAAGTTTATTAGCACGTATACCATGAGTATGAATTTTATGAATTATTTGTAAAAAGGTTGTATGGGATTGATCATAGTCTACCGAAATGGATTTCTTTTGTGTTCTTACTATGCAGTTGCTTCCACTATGTACATGATTCAAAACATTTCCTTTTATTTTTAAATATGCGTATCGAATCAAGTTTTCCAACTCTCATATCATATTTATTTTCATTGTTTAATCTCTTTAAGGTATGGGTATGTGTTTTTTTGTGTTTGATCAAAAGATACTGGAGCAAAAATGTTTGTTAGATTTTCCCAATGTCGACTTACGTTACTCTTCTGCAGGCTTACATTGCTAAACATTTCGATTTACTCACTGAGAACCTCATTTGAGCGTCCCAATATAACCTTTTTCTTCTTCAATCATCAATTTTTGTTATGCTCGAATTGTTTTTCACAATTGCATGAATCTGTTTTATAAATACGATGAACGAAATCGACCAAAAAAAAAAAAAGAAAAAAGTGTATATAGAGCACATTAAATAGTATGCACCGAGTTCAATGAACCCTTTTTCGTTCCGATCAAACAAACGCAATAAAACTTCAAATCAACACACGTGCGCAGTTTAATCCTTTCGCTAATTCGGTTTGCAGGCAAAATTCAAAACGTCCACTTTTGTGCTAAACTTTTGATCGATTGGAAACAGTTCGATGCATGATTGGGACATAACTCACACATGTGTGCCTACTAAAAAAAAAGACATCCTTAAATACGAACGAACATCGATTTCCTTCCCTATTCCACCTTGCCAAATTCCTTCCTACCTTAAGACTCCCACTTCATCAACCCAAAATGCCATGAGATCACACACGGGTGCAACTTGACCTGCTTGCTTCCTAAACGCTAGAGATTAGTGTGTACCTAGTAGTTGTAGTAGTAGTAGTAGTTTTTGTTAGAGGATATAGTAAATTGACCTACTTATTTGCCATTTGTATCACCGCCGATTTGAGTTGTTTCGATTTGTTTAGGATTAATTTTGCCTTGCTTTAAAAATTACTTTGCTCTCTCTATCTCGCGCGCAAATCGGTGCCTTTGGTGCTTTTGCTGTTACTCGTTATCGTAACAAAAAAGAATTCGTGGAAGGAAATCGATCCAAACACTCCCCTTGCTAACCATATATTTAGATAAGTTGTGTATTTTTCTTGCGTGTGTTCATTTTCATCTGTTAACTAACTTGTTTTTGTGTACTTTTAAAATAAACACAAATAATTAAAACAAAAAGATTTAGTACGGTTCAAACCCATAATAATTACAGGTAGTATCGTAAACATAAGTATCGCAAATTTGTTCAATAAACAATAAAGCTAGATTATACGAAATAATATCGACTATAACACAAAGAAAGGGATTCAACTGAAAACAAAAAAAGTTCGGTTTTAAATATGTGTTGTCAGCAGTTTTCGGAAAAGATCGCAGATAACGAACAATTTTCTGATAATATCACCCTGTATGAATTTGGAGCACATAAATTCGTTATCTATGTAAATTTTAAACTGGTTTATGGTTGTTTGAGATTTGATTTTCTGCGACCATTTTCGTCCATTCCACAATCTATGGGTGTACAAGTATAAGTATATAAAAAGCTATGCATGTTCGCAAATTCTTGGAGCTCGTACTACAATTGATCGACACTGCGTAAAAAAAATCTCAGGTATTGTAGGGCCTTTCGTTAAATATGTATGCTCATATGTGGTTAGCTTGAATCCACCTCCCACTGCCTACCGAAAAAAAAAAACAACTTACACAATACTTTTTTATCAACTAAAACACATTTTCTCTTAACCTAGAGAACCATATTCAACTTTCCGTTGTACGTCTTCTCCCTTTGCTTCGATTACGGTTCAGTCACAGATATATTTGTTGTTGTTTTGTGTACTTACTTGCACTCCACATCCTGACAGATGGTGTTGAGCTTTTCGTGCACTCCACTGTTGTTCAGGTCGCTTGACGAGGTAACGATATTGATCGAACTGACCTTGGCACGCTCGATCGCCGTCACCGTATTTTCGCCGAGCATCTTAAACAGTATGTAGCCGATGATGATGGCAAAGCCAGCTACCAGCACCCGGACGAACGAGTCCTCGTTTAGCTGAATGATGACCCATGCGCCCAGGCCGGTTATGCACATCAGCGTTACGATTATGATCGTCTTGGCCCAGTGCTGTATGGTAAAACCTTTCTCCCAGTCGAGGCTGAAATGTAATTACGTCGAAAATGGATTGCAGGTTTTAGTCTCATGAACTAAAAATTGAAACTCAGACACATACCGATTGGATCGCTCGATTTCATAGGGAGATTCGCACACCTTGCACTTCAGTACGGTGTCGGAATTGGCACAACTCTCCACCAGCCAGCGCCGCAGGCACTCGTGATGCACCGAACTAACGTCACCGGTGCACCTGCATGGCTGAATCAACGGTTCGGGTTTCTCGCTGTCGTAGCAAATCCAGCAGTCTTTCTTGGCGAGAAACGATTGTCCTTCTTCGGCGGTCGAGGTGGAAGCCTCCGGTTCCGTCGAACTGCCGGTACCGGTCGCCACCGGATCGATCTGGCGCGTCAGAAGTTTGCGTGGATTTAAAATCCATAGTTGTTCCGGTGCCATCGAGTTCCATAGACAACAGGGGAACCAAAGTGCAACGCCTACTTCAGCGAGCCGGAACACGATATCGTGCCAGTTACGAGAATATACTGGGACCCTTAGGGAAGGAAGAAACAGAACATGGTAATTGTACGTGTATGATTGATGTGCGACGCAAACATACTTCTTCTTCCAGAAGTCACCCAACGTTTCCGATGTGAGGAAACCAATGATGACAATGAGCATAATCGCCTGGCTCAACAGACCGAAGCGCGACTGGTGGAGCTGGGAGGCGTTGACATTTTCGCTGTTTGGAGCAGTTCCAAACTCGTACACGAAACCACCGCGTACCTGAAATTGTGATTTAGATTTAAGGTTTTTAGAATCCTGTATTATTGCAGCACAATCTAAGCAGTAAGAATACTGCTTTTTTTTTCTTATACATGATCGAGTTTTGTTGATATCTTTCACATCGAGTTTAATGAGATTCTATTTTTAGATTTGATTTTTGAACATTCGTTTAATGAATCGCGTACACACCGGTTTAACGCGCTGCAACAATCTTCATTGGATTCAATCGAGTTCTCAGTTGCCGTCAGAAATATGTTCCTTATTTAGCTCTACGATACGAATTTCACAAAATGATCATCAATGACTCATCACTGTCCCACCAATAAACGATAACGAAGCTTCAAAGCCGTCTCCCTTCTTATTCTTCTTCTGTCTTAATTACGTCCCCATTGGGACTTTACGCCGGCTCCAAACTTAGTGTTCTTTGAGTACTTGCACAGTTGTTAATTGAGAGCTTTCTAAGCCTGTTCTATTTTTGCATTAGTATAATTGTGCGGCAAGTACAATTATTATCTCTGTCCAGGGAAATTAAGTTCCTATGGTATTCTGATGATAGTTAATTTCAGGGAAAATTTGCGTGTTTGTAATTTCTGATGAATATTCAAAAGGAAATTTTAAAGCAAATTACAAAGAGAAAAAGCAAACTCTCACGAGAATTTTTAGGAAGTCCTAGTTGTGAATTTCTAGTGTTCTCGAGAGAATTCCAAAAGTGTTCTGCACATAATTCGAAGTCTTTTATGGAGTTATAAGGGTATGGGGGTATCCTAAAGTGGCTCTGGAGACATTTTAGAATGATCCTAAGGGAATCCTCGATTCCACGTGGACAGTTTTTTTAGTGGTTTTAGACCCTCCTGCAGTGTAGCATTGTCCACAATTCTACAATTTCAAAAATTTATCTTACCCTACTATGAAAAAAAATGATAAACCTAACTAGAGATAGAAGGATACTTTCTTCGACAAAGTTGTGGAGCTACTCAAAATATGAAACTCTGTTGAAGATAACCCTTTAAATTAAGTTTTTATACATAAACTTTTAACATAGTAGCTTTGAAAGCAAATAATGTTCAAGAAAAAATATAAACAAAGTAAAACTAAATGTCCACTGATGCAGTTAAAAATAGGGTAAAATAAATTTAAAAAGTGATACATATAACTTTGCAAGAAATGCACACAGTATCATCATAGAGGTAACTCTAAGACCAGAAGGTCCCGAAGAAACGTGCTCAACTTTTTGACCCAGCTCTGGTACTATCTTTGGTCCCAAGCTAATCGATGCACCCCTCGAAACATAGCAAAATCCACCAACCCCTAATTTCATCTGTCAAACTTCCATAGCGAATCAAAACAAACATTTTTTTTTTCTTCTGTTCGGGACCTAACACTACTGCGACCAGTAAATTGATCTATTGTAGTATATGCCGTGTCCTTAGTTTAGTGCATGTCGTATTACTCCATCACTATTGAGAAATGATGAAGTATTCGATTTTTTTTTACAATTGCCACTCTTGCATTTATCGCAAGGATCCGACTCTAATTGAAAGGTCCAGCTATTTATACCTTTCGGAGTGTTGAAACACCCTCCAAAGGCGCGCCCCTTTGTCAGTCAAAGTTGGATTCCTTAGCAACAAAATTAAGGTATGACACCGATAATGACCATGCATCAGAACCCTAGTCTTAACCACTTCAAACTAGGGAACAACGAATAGAAGATTAGGAATCACATAGATGAAGACAACTAACTCATTTTTTTCCTTGTTTCAAGATCATCCTCGGTAGACAAAGCCGAGTCTTGTCACTATCAACAAGGCATAAAAAGTAACAAGGACTAAGATGTGTTCCTTGGATTACTGAAAAATCCTGTTCCCCTAGTTTGAAATAGTCAGGACTAGGAATCGGTGATAGATCTTACATCCCGTAACGTACCACGAAAAGGTGATCTACCCACGTTACGGGGCAAAACAAATATAGTGTATTACTAGAATGTTGACTAAAATGGGGTACACTTATGGATGTACTTGAGACCAATAGGCTAGTCAAGTAGTGAGCCAATATAAAATCGTTTGTTTCCACCGGTTGGTATCATTCTGTCTTTAGCAAAAACATTTAGTGTTATGTTTATATTCGTCTAGAACATTATTTGCTTGAAAAGTTACCATGTAAAAAGATTACAATTAAAAACCAAATTTTAAAGGATAACCGTAGAAAACTGCCCATAGTATCCTTCTATTATTTAGAGAAAAGTTAGATTTACCATTCAAAGTGTTTTATGTTACATCATACGCGAAGTTTGCGATTTTCAGAGTTGGTTGGAAATGCTATCTAACATGAAGCTTTAGTGTGATAATTTATTAGCTAGAGAATGGTCTTTTAGAAGAGGGTAGGTAGATAGTTCCGTTAGAATACGGCAGTATGAAAATTACTTTCAATATTAATGATGCATCTCTGTTGTCTATCTACCAATATGATTTGAAATGCGTGTGCGTTTGACTTTGTACTGTCGCATTAATGGCCCTTCGCTCATTTTCAACTTCTATTCAATTTTCATAATGCCGTACTCTAACGGAACTATCTACCTACCCTCTTCTAAAAGACCATTCCAAGACCAACAATTGAAATGGCCTTAACTCTATTTTGTAAACAAACATTGTAAGGCCATTTTCTCGCGAACCGAAACCTTCATTCGCAAACCTAAACCACAATCGAGTACCGTGCGGGACCGAAATCCGTACAGCACCGAAATCCGTACACCCTGTTGAATTTGTTTATTTGTATGCATCATAACAATGTAAATATTATACATGAATACATATTCATGTTCATTCATGCATCAGCTTGATGTTTACTTCAACAATTAAGCAGTATAACATGCAATTAAAATAAGAAAAATAAAAACCTTATCACGTGTCGGGCATTTCTGTCAATCGGTTGCGTTCTTAACGATTTTCTAAGAAAATGTCTCGGATTTACTTCCAGTTGTTAAGCGTATTTAAGTGATTTTTGCAAGTAGTTTCCTGAAGGTCGATCGGAAAGGTAAGTGTTTATCGTTTTATATCTCAATTCTAAGCAATGAATCGTTCATATGGTATTTATTTATCAAAATTACTACTGTACGGATTTCGATCCATATATAACAGCTGATTCTAAATCCGTACACTTGTGCATCACTAATGACGATTCTACTTTATCCAATGTTTTTCAGCCGATCATGGAAACTAAATACACGCCGGAGGATTTGGAGAAGACTGTGGCAATGATGCGTGCGGAGAAATCTTACCGAGAAGCATCCAGGGATTTTGCCGTTCAATTCACCACCATAAGAGATGCCGTATTGAATCGCTACTCTCTTATTTTATTCGTATTGTAAACGTTATATTATTAATATCTTTTAATGAAGAGCGTCAAGAACCAGCCGAAAAGTAAAACAACGCAGCTCCCCTACAGCATATCACCAACACGCATATACAAATTACAGAGAGCAGACAGAAATGTGCCAGAGAGCATTCCCAGCTACCAGCGAGGAATGACCGGAAATACACATGAAAGTAGTGCGGGCGAAAATTGATAAAGAGAACGCAAAGAAACAAAGGATTGAGGAACGACAAAAGAAAAAGGTTGAGCGAGAGAGGAAGAGGAGGAAGAAAAGGAAGAAGAGCAAAGAAAGTTCCCTAATAAACAAATACCATGAACGAACTTTATCCCGGATGGGTAAACTTTCCCACAAATGGTTTGGATGATACCCCGAACACTTCGTTAAGCTCTCTTTTATGGTTATTTTTATTAGGGTTGGAAGCAAGAAAGCATTATAACTTGAAAAGGCAATGGTAACAATGGAGAAGAAGCAGAAGAAAGCTGTGGAAAAGAAGCAATGAAAGATCTGTATTTTTATGATTATTACTCTCTTGACGTATTAAATTAAATTAAGTTATAGTCGTTATTTTACCAATTTTAATTTTCATGCACAAAACGAAAAACTAATCCTTGATGTCAGTTCATTGTCTTTTTTTGTTGGTTTCTAAGATGGTTGTATTTTTCTTTTACTTATCCGCTATTTTAGGGCTACCATCTTAGGAACCGGTTAATTTATCGCTTGATGCCAGTGGGTTTGTGGAGTTCCAAAGTATGGCGCATCTTGCACGTTATCACATGTCAAATTTCAAAAACCTCGAAGCTTTGATCGGAGGAAAACTCCAGTAAGAATATTTAATCCAAAGCACTGGTAAAGAATAAAATTTGGAAGAAATTAATCCTTTAACATGATATTAGTTAGCATAAAAATCCAGAACAGTTACCTTCTTAAATAAAAAGAATTCAGTTACCTCTCCTTTGAATCGATTGGAGCATCAATTAATCTAACGCTGATATCATTAGTTAAAAAATTAAAAGTAAAAAAAATGAACTTGAACCTTTGAAGAATGATTCTTATGTAAAATCGTGCACTGAATTCAACAATGTAGTCGAAAAAAATGTCAGTAGGATAGTTTTTGAGATACAGCTAAAAATGAAAATTCACCTTAAACAAGTTTGATTACTATAATACAAATATCTCCGGTTGTAATGAGATTATATCAATTATTTTAACGCTAAATTAGAGGTAAGAAATTTTTTCGTTCGATCAATTGAACATCAATTGTCAGTGAGATTGATGGTATTGTTGTTAGTTAATAGTTTGTTTTTTAAGTTTTCCTAAGAAAAATTGAATTTCTGCTAAGTTTTTAAGCAATGTTAATTAAAATGTTTATAGTGGTTCTACCATTACTCTCACGGAAAAATAGTGTTAAAACGATCGAAATAAAATTTTATCACGTTTAATTTGGCGTTCAAATAATTAATATCACTTCATTGCAGCCAGAGATATTTGTGTTTTAGTTTTTTTTAACGTGAGATTTCATTTTTTAGCTAGGGGAAGGAGGGGCATAGTGAACAGGCGGGGCATAGTGAGCATCCCGTACTTTGGCTCTGGATCTCCAACTGCATGAAACAAATCAACTGGTAGTAGGATC